AAACCCAGATCTACCACATGTAAGTCAAGTGCCCTACCTGCTGTATTTTTCTCTCACCCTGGATATACTCTTTTCTAATTCCATTACTTTTTTGTTCATGAGGTCCAGGATCTCAGCTCCTTACACAGTTCTTAAGGTGGCCTTTATTGATAAACTTTTTATAAATATTATCATCCAGCATTTGCTTCAAGCATTATTTTATATCTTGGACATAACCTAGTGTAGGTGCCAGCTGTTGTACTTTTCACTCACAGAACTGCTAGACTAAAGAATCCCTGTAATCTCCATCCAACCAGGCTGCAAATGTAGCAAAATCAGCATCTCCTCCTAAAGGTCCACGTTGAATGTTTTCAACAGTGTTATTTACTAAACACATTTTTATTAAAAATAAATATGATGGAATATCCAATAAAAGTTGTTATTTCTAGGAACATTTTAGAACCCTTGCTACACATTGTTTCCAGAGGGGATTAGTGATTTTCACTGCTTCCAGCCATGTTTGAATAAATTCATTTTATTGCCCCCAGTCAGGCAATGTAAATTAATTTTTAAATATTTCTTTATGCTAGCTGTATTTCCCCCATGTCTCAAAAATAGTTATGTGTACAGAACTATCTAGAAAGAATGACATGGGGTTTCCCCACATCATTTCCTTCTTTTCTGTTGGTTGACTAATGCCCTATGTGACTCATTGTTAGAATCTGCCTTTCTGCCAATACTGTTAATGATGACATTTGTTGCAATGTCTGCTTGGTTTTGTATTTTAAACTTTGTTCTGTATACACTTGTAGATAACTTCTCAGCTACTGTCTGCAAAACTACTCTGATTAATTCCAATACTTAACATGTTGGATTGTAATCTGGGCCTGACAGTTTGGACTAAAGCTTCTCTTTGGAAGTGAGATGAATCACTTTTCACCCTTTCTACCTTTTTTCACTCTGCTCTTGTCTAAAGAAGTTAATACCATTGCAATGATTTAACCACCTTGCTTGCCTTCTATCCTTCACTGACAGAACATCAGAGAAAGAAAGAAAGGAAGTGTTTTCCTGGTCTTTCGTTGTCAGCTTTACACAGGTTGGTCTCTATTGTAGTAACTACTCTCTTCTCTTCAACTTTAGTCCTATGGGTAGTAATCATTCCCCTTTATCACTATCTCAAGGTAACAGAACACTAATCTTTTAATTAATCCTGTTCACAATTTCCAATTCATTTGCTTACTCACATCATCACAATCTATTAAGGTGTGGCAACCATTTTTCCAAGGATTATATTTTTTCAGAAAGGAAATGAAACATTGATGGAAGTTTATAATTTCACAATGAGGAAAAACTAAAGAACATTTTTTTAACTCTTATGAAACGGTGCTTAAGTTAAATCTGATCTTCATTCCTTAGCATATTTAGCTAATGTATTAATGTAGTTTGTTGTCTATTTCAAGGCTGTGTCGAAGATATATTATCTTATGAGTCTTTAAGAAGAACGTGCTTTTGACCTTATGTACCTCTAAGTAAAGATGTTAGAGTAGCTTAACTTTATCTTCAATCCAGTGAAAGACAGTCATTTGGAGAATTCTACTTTTACTCAGGGGCAAATTTGATACAGAAATTCAGTTTTGGTACCATGTTGGAATTTGGGTGAGTTAGCTAAAGGGAAATTTCAGAATACTTTTTTCTTGGAAAAATATGCTAACGACCTGTTTGATTCATGTCTTGAAAACACTTTGCAGAAAACAGGGACTAAGGGAAACTACAGTCTCAGAATACAAATCCAATCAATTCCCTTGACCCTGGAATGGTAGCACTGTAGCACTGTCCTCCTTTTGTTCATCAATTTGCTCGAGCGGGCACCAGTAACATCTCTATTGTGAGACTGGTATCTATAAATATTTGTTATATATCATTTTTCATCTGTGAAGGTATTATTGTCAATTTAAATATTTTAAGTGGAAATTGGGCTGGAGCGATAGCACAGCAGGTAGGGCGTTCGCCTTACAAGTGGCCAACATGGCCGACCCGAGTTCGATTCCTCCGCCCCTCTAGGAGAGCCCGGCAAGCTACCGAGAGTATTGGATATGCCAGACACAGTAACAACAAAGTCTCCAATGGAGACGTTACTGGGCCCGCTCGAGCAAATCGATGATCAACGGGAGGGCCTTTACCTTTACCTTTTAAGTGGAAATTAATATTTTAAGTACAAAGCTATGAGCTCTACATTATCAATAATGATCATCTCTGGTTGGTGAACTGCGACTAAGAAATGTGCATCCCAAATTCTGATTTCAGTACATAATAATACAGTATAGAACTATGGAGTAACAAACAAAAAGTTATTATAAAGAAATAAGAAATAAATAAAACTTCTGAGAATTATTTTAAATCTGCAAAACAATTTAACCTAACATTAGTTGTTTATATTAAGATGATTCACACCTACTTTCAGCATATATAGATATACTGTTTCATTATAATAACATCTCAAGACACTTTATTTTTACAGAAATTTCAATTATATCTTCATTTTTTTCCATTTTGGGGTCACACCCGGCGATGCACAGGGGTTACTCCTGGCTCTGTACTCAGGAATTACCCCAGGCTGTGCTCAGGGCACCATATGGATGCTGGGAATCAAACCCGGGTTGGCCGCATGCAAGGAAAACACCCTATCTGCTGTGCTATTGCTCCAGTCCCAATTATATCTTATTTTCAATTATATTTAAGCCTCGAGTTTTATACTTATGTGTGCATGTACATGTACACATATTTATATATACATATGTCTATTCCCTCCGCCCGACCCTGGGAGCTGTGCACAAAACTTTTTATTCTTTCCTCTGTGGATTCTAAGGCAACTATGAGCACATTTATCTTAATCCACTAAACCAAACACTCGTGCTGTGTTGTTAATATGTGTACATATACACAGGTATGCAATTACAGCACACATATAATTTTTTAATTTGATTTGTAATAATGCCACAAATCTGAGTAGTCTTTTCAAAAACAAGTGATTTTAATGTAATTTAATAGGAGGATATCCAGAATAGGAGTAGAGAGGATATAGAGCTTATCCAACAATTGAATGACTGACAGCAGTCATTTAGAAAAATGAAAACTCACTTAAAATCCACACTTCAATGCCTGGCATTCTTAGGTATAGCAAATGCCAGAAACTATTTATCTGTAGCAAAATAATTTCACTGGTAACACACTCAATTCTCAGTTTCTGGGTCAGGTTTGCTGGCTTATCCACTTCTCTCTATTCCTGATAGATACAGATATTATATTTTATTGTCTTCTCTGTGTAACCAGTAGGAACTTCCTTTTTTTTGGAATATACTTGATATTTATTAAAATAATTTTTTGTTACACAAAATCTGAAAACCACAACAACATAAGATTAACATTCAATTTTAGCCAACAGATTCTAATTGAATACATACAGTTAAATCTCCTAATTGTTTTTGAATATTCAAATTCAGGAACTTCCTTTTTATACCATACTTTGGGTGGTTATGACTGCTCTGTTACAAATAATTAAATCCTTAATAATTACTTTAATTTGGAGTCATGCTTTATATTATGGAACTATGAAAATAGAATTTATTCTCAATACTTTTTAGTATCAATTCATGTAACTTAAAATTTTGAATGGATGAAAAATATCTTGACAAAAAAATAAATTCTGACTAATCAAAATTTATTATCCATAATAATTAGAAGTTATTGTAAATATGAGTCTAAAATAGAAGACACTATGAAAATTCACTGATTATTTTCTTTTAGCTATTTGTATTGAGTATTTGTAATATACTAACAATGTGCTTAATAAATTATATAGATCACCTCTTTTTATAAATGCCTTTTAGAGTATCAAGTTCATTTTATATATTTAAATTTACAAATACATGGGTCAGAAAGGTTATGTATAATTTTGATTTAAATAATCACATGACAAAAAGAAGAATCATGTTTCAGTACTGGGCTTTATTACCAAAGTCCTAATCATGATTTTAAATCCACGATATTAATTAATGATATCAAACAGAAATATAAAATGAATTCATGAAAAATTTATTAAAAATGTGGTTTCTTTTAATATTCAAAAACTTTATTTGAAGATGGCTTGGGACAGAGATCAAAGAGTGACTCTTTGAACTCAGAGTTTATAGTAAATGTCTTACATCAGAATAAAGTAATTAATAATTCCTCTTCTTTGGGGGAGTTGTATTTGTTATTTATGTATTACATAGTTATATACTAGTTATGATATGTATATTTGCCAAAGGTAGCAATGGATTAGATGAATTACGCAATTTTCAAAAGCCACACAACTAGTAATCACGGACATGGAGTTAAACTCTAGGTAAGATTAAAAAAAACTCACAGCTTAATTACTGTATTAGTTTGCCATTCCTCAAAGCTTAGTGTTCTTTAAATAATAAAGACTCTTTACTTGTAGAGCTACTTGACAAAACTTTAACTTCAGCCAATTGTCACAAAATTCTTTTATGGATAAGCTTACAAAATTTTAGTTCTAGCACATTGCAACTTTGTATGGAAAGAAAAATTTCCTCTTACCATCAAAAGATATTCTCAGAAAAGCAAAATGTTATTATATAGCACCGGAAGAAGATGAGGAACGCCCCCCCCCCATAGTGCCTCATAGGATGTTGGAAGACATCTTTGCCGCCACACCTCCTCTGACCCCATAGTGCCGCATGGGATGTTGGGAGACATCTTTGCCACCACGCCCCCTTTGCCCCCATAGTGCCGCATGGGATGCTGGGAGACATCTTTGCCGCCACGCCCCCTCTGCCCCCATAGTGCCGCATGGGATGTTGGGAGACATCTTTACCGCCACGCCCCCCACCGCCCCCATAGTGCCGCATGGGATGCTGGGAGACATCTTTGCCGCTACGCCCCCCACCGCCCCCATAGTGCCGCATGGAATGTGGGGACACATCTTTGCCGCCACGTCCCCTCCGTCCCCATTATGCCACATGGGATGCTGGGAGACATCTTTGCCGCCACGCCCCCTCCGCCCCCATAGTGCCGCATGGGATGCTGGGAGACGTCTTCGCCGCCACTCCTGCGCAAACTTGCCGAGGAAGATGCTCGCCGTTGTCTTCCGTGTGTTGTCAGGCATCTCCCAGAGGCCGACAAGCCGAGTGCTGGTGGCATCCAGCAATTTTGCAAACGACGCTACCTTTGAAATTAGGAAATGCGATCTTCACCGACTGGAAGACGGCCCTTCGGTCACCACCACGCTCACCAAGGAGGACGGGCTGAAGTACTACAGGATGATGCAGACGGTGCGCAGAATGGAGTTAAAGGCGGATCAGCTGTACAAGCAGAAGATTATCCGTGGCTTCTGTCACTTGTATGACGGGCAGGAGGCTTGTTGTGTGGGCCTGGAGGCCGGCATCCACCCCAGCGACCACATCATCACGGCCTACCGGGCTCATGGCTTTGCCTACACCCGGGGTCTGACTGTCAGACAGATTCTCGCTGAGCTGACGGGCCGGAGAGGAGGCTGCGCGAAGGGCAAAGGGGGCTCCATGCACATGTACTGTAACAACTTCTACGGGGGCAACGGCATCGTGGGGGCTCAGGTGCCCTTGGGAGCAGGGATTGCACTGGCCTCTAAGTACAACGGGAGAGAGGAGGTCTGCTTGACGCTGTATGGCGACGGTGCTGCTAATCAGGGCCAGATTTTTGAGGCGTACAATATGGCAGCGTTGTGGAAACTGCCCTGTCTTTTCATCTGCGAGAATAACCGTTATGGAATGGGCACGTCTGTCGAGAGAGCCTCTGCCAGCACCGAGTACTACAAGAGAGGGAACTTCATCCCGGGACTGCGGGTAGACGGGATGGATGTCCTCTGTGTCCGGGAGGCCACCAAGTTCGCAGCTGCTTACTGTCGGTCCGGAAAGGGGCCCATCGTCATGGAGCTCCTGACCTACCGTTACCATGGACACAGCATGAGTGATCCTGGCGTCAGTTATCGGACCCGAGAAGAGATCCAGAAAGTCAGAAGCAAGAGTGACCCGATCATGCTGCTCAAGGAAAGAATGGTGAGCAGCAGGCTCGCCAGTGTGGAGGAGCTCAAGGAAATTGATGCCGAAGTGAGGAAAGAAATTGAGGATGCCGCGCAGTTTGCCACTTCCGATCCTGAACCGCCCCTGGAAGAGCTGGGCTATCACATCTACAGCTCCGAGCCACCTTTCGAAGTTCGTGGCACAAATCAGTGGATCAAGTATAAGTCTTTTAGTTGAGAAGTTTGCACTTTTAGTGGGTTTTCGGTGCTCTCAATTTGCCACTTAGATCTTAAAAATAGGTAACAGCTTGCTTTAACATTTCCATATCGTTAGAATAATTCTTCTTAATTTACTTATGATGATTGTAACCAATGTATATGTTTGAAACAATTCTTCGTATGTCCCCGAAATTTTTATTATAGAAACATGTTCTGAATTTAAATAGCTTTATTCTTTATTATATTAAGAAAAATAATAAATAATCCTTTTGTCTATATTTCGTATTCTAAAATTTAGCAGATTTTTACCATTCATTCTTAATAATTGAAAAATGAAAAGATAACAGATAAAATATGTAAATATATTCCTGAATTACAGATTTTACTTAGCAAAATAAATGGTTATATGTAATTTCTTTGATAAGAAATTCAAATTTCAAGTTAAATATGACTTAAAAAAATTTTTTTTCAAGAGTTCAAATTTGTGTTGATTTTTTCTTAAAAAACTCCTCAACCAAAAAAATAAATATAACTACATAAGTTCATTGAAAACTAGGTTGTGTTTACAGTTTCTTATCTCAAATATAGTTTTTAACATTAATTTTCAGTCAGTGCATTTATTCATTTACTTGAGAGATAGTTTTAAACATTTAATAAATAAAAGCTGCATTGCTATCAGCGAAAATGCCTTAAATGAGTTTATCATCTAGACATATTATTTAACTAACAACTATATTTCAGTTGCCAGCAAGTTACACATTTAGAATTTACTTTTTATCAACAAAAGTATGCCTGTTTATGTAAAACAATTTATACTCTACTAACATACTCTCAAATATTCAGGCAGGATGCCATTTATTAAAGAGCAAAGCAGATAGTCTTCATTATTTTTCAAGATGGGACAGTATACTATCATCAAAGTGACTATAAAATCAAGAATCATTTTGCAGATACGGGTAAATGTTGGGATATGTTAATTCAAAACCAAAACCAAAAAATAATATTTATACTCAAAATTGAACTACTGATACCAAACCTGACCATGAAATCAAAATCAGTATACATCTAAGTAGAATATTTCACCCTCTTCAGTGCAAATGTTTCATTACCTGTTTTTCTATTAAAGTTCACTCTATTAGAGTTAACCTGACTTTTCAATTAGAATTTATTTAAAAGGTGGAGGATGGAAAACATGAATATTATACAAGGTAATTTTCCTCTTGTCCTCTTTTCTTCACCCTACCCCTTTTCTCCCTTCCCTTTCCCTCTCCTCTTTTTTTTCTGTGGCGATTTGGGCCATAGCTGACTCTGCTCAGGACTAACTCCTGACTCTGTGCTCAAGGATCACTCCTAGTAGTGCTCTGGGTACCATATGTGATGCAGAGAGATCAAACTTCAATAAAGTTTGTGTAAGGAAATCAATCTTATCTGTTTCTCTCATCCCCAGGTAGTTCTCTGTAAACTGGAGTTCAGTTTCCACATTATATTTTCCTTTATCAGTTTGTAAAATCACCTTTGGACATATGAATTAGTATATATTTTCTTACAGAATGTATCAGGAAGTATAGGTATAGTATAATGGATGAGATTTTTGTCTTACATTTAGTCAACGTTGATTTAATTCCTGAAGTCATATATAGTTTTCTGTAAGCCCTGAGCACCTTTGGCCATGGCACCAAAAAAAAAAAAAATGATAAAAATACATCAAATAAGGGGTCAAGTATCAGGAGGTCAAGACATATAAGATAGATTATATAACTATTATGACTATGGGATGCTGGGAATCGAATCTAGGTTGGCCAAGTACAAGGCAAACGCCCTACCCATTATCGTTCCAACCCCCTATACTTAGAGATTTTTTAATTTACTTAGTAGTAGGCACTTTATGACATAGTGGGAAAAAATATGTTTGCAACATGATCTCTCAACAAGGGATTTCCAGGGAATATGTAAAAGCAAATATTTTGTACTTGTTAAATCTTACTACCTCAAAAACTGTGTTAGAGATATGTTCTCATATGCAACCCAAAAGGGTTAAGTAGAATTAGGTGAACTTCTCAAGTGGAAAGGTTATTGCACAGTCCATCATCATTCTCTTTCTATTTTCCTAGAACACTAATGCAGATGATACACTGGAGGAATGTTTATAACAGTATATCCTCAATCTTTTTTGACATTATTGAAAGGAGAACTAGTTGCAGAAATTTTTCACATACCTTCAATGACTTAAATATAAACTTATAAATAAAAAGTAGGGAATTTTAATATTACAGTATTTTTTCAGAAGATGGTCTCCAATTTCTTGCTCTGTGTTTATATTTATTTGAACTTTTGAGTTAATATTTACTTGAATTTTTGAGTTTATAGTATTCAATATATAATTTTATAGTATTCAATAAAATATAGGATTCAATTTATAGTTTATAGTACTCAATAAAATCTTATTGTTAATGTAGAATGATTCAAAATTTTAAATTTCCCATGCTACCTAAGTAATTTCAGAAAAACACTATGTAAAAGACTGTTGATAATAAAGACAAAAAATTTACCCTTTTTATTTAACATACAAGTTTTGACTGAACAGCTAACAATTTACCTTCAGACAATAAAGGGATTAGAAACGGGAGAAACACAAATTGTTTTATCAATACCATAATAATTTTTCCATTATTTAAAAAATATATTACCAATGGACATTGTCACATGCAGCTTGGAAGACCTTGAAAACAACATTCTAGGTGAAATGTGCAAGTTATACAAAGACAAATATTCTATTATTCCCTTTAAGTAAGAGCTATAGAATATAAAATTTACAGAAATTGAAAATAGGATCATGGTCATTAAGTACTGGCATGTAGAGGGGGAGACACAGATTGGTGTTTGAATTACTCAGCGTTTCAGTTTTTAAGAAAGAAAAATAATTCTGGAAAAGAATGTTAGTGATAGCAGCAAAACACTTCCACTGTTGAAAGTCAATTTACTCTGTATCAATGAGACTTTATACTTCTGAATAATTTTTTTTCACAGAGAGGTAAAGATGTGAATTACTTTTTTTGCTCTTTCTAGGAACATCAACTGAATTCAGTTTAAGTAAATCACAAATAAACTTTCCAACAGGTGTTATAAAACAAACATTTATTTTCCACATTGTAATATGAAATAGAACTGGGGTCGGCCATGTTGGCTGCATGCAAGGCAAACCCCGGCGTTTGCCTTGCACGCAGCCAACATGGCCGACGCGAGTTCGATTCCTCCGCCCCTCCCGGAGAGCCCGACAAGCTATCGAGAGTATCTCGCCCGCACAGCAGGGCCTGGCAAGCTACCCGTGATGTATTCGATATGCCAAACACAGTAACAACAAAGTCTCCAATGGAGACGTTACTGGGCCTGCTCGAGCAAATCGATGAACAACGGGAGGACAGTGACAGTGACAATATGAAATAAGTGAAAACTGATGATGTGAAAACTCAAATTAGATTTTACAGAGGGAGATGTAGTAAGTGAAAATATTCAATGGCAGAGATATTTATGGACACAAACACTTCATCCTATATGGAGCTCAGAGTATTTAATCAATTGTAAGAGCAACATGGATCATGTTCAAAAAGTCATTGTTAGGGGCTGGAGCAATAGCACAGCAGGCAGGGTATTTGCTTTGCACGTGGCTGACCCAGGTTCAATCCCCAGCATCCCATATTGCCCCCTGAGCTCTGCCAGGAGTAATTCCTGAGTGCAGAGCCAGGAGTAAACCCTGTGCATCACTGGGTGTGACCCAAAAAGCAAAAAAAAGTCATTGTTATTAAAATAAGCTGTACTTTTATATTATTATAGAACATTAAAATCCAAGGATGCATTAAAATAAAGATTATACTATACCTTTAAAGTATTATAAAATTTTATAATATTCTCAAGTAATCTACTCATTAACCGTTCTCTAGAACTCATGGCTGCTCCTCCCAGACAGGAGCATAAAAGGAGGCCCCCATAACCATGCCATCTGAATGTGCACCGGGCTGTTTCCACAAGGGGCACCTCAGAGGGGGGTGGGCATGAGCTCTCCCTGCCACAAGGGACCCAGTAACAGCAGCTGACCTCCAACCACTATCCAACCGCTGCCACCCTCCAGGCCACTTTCAGGATCGCGCAGCTGCAAAGCCTTCTGGCAACAGATCATGGGATACTTCCTACCCATTGTCCATAATTACCACAATATGTTTGATGGAGTTCAGACAGTAGGCAATAGATCATAGGGAGATATCTCTATCTATCTATCTATCTATCTATCTATCTATCTATCTATCTATCTATTGTATCCTCTGCCAGTACCTTCATTCAGTACCAACAAAGGCATGCGGGTCCCGGGGCTGAGATCTTCAACCCTGCTCGGATTGGGGCTGAGCATCCTCCACCCAGATCCGCCATCCTCCAGTAGGCAGGGGTCACACCCACCAACTGCCCCACTCCCACCCCCACCCCCCGCCCCCGGCGCCATGTAATCCCATCAACAGCCAAGACCCAGAGACTATAAAACCCAGCTCCCGGAAGAAAACAGCACAGAGTCTCCTGTCCCAGCTCCTGGCTATCCTCACCAGGGCCTCTTGGAGGGAGGCGAGTTGAGTTTCCCTTCCCAAGCCGAGCAGAGCTCCGGCAGTTGAAGACCTCCAGAACCAGCCACAACCATGCTGAGACCACTCTCCACATGCATGATGGTACCGGCAGAGGAACAAAGGCATGCGGGTTCTGGGGCTGAGATCTTCAAGCCTGCTTGGATTGGGGCTGAGCATCCTACACCCAGAGCCTCCATCTTCCAGTAGGCAGGGGTCACAGCCACCAACTGCCCCCCAGCGCCGTGTAATCCCATCAATGGCCAAGACCCAGAGAATATAAAATCCAGCTCCCAGAAGCACGTGGCCACATTCATGGCCATGCTACATTTTATAATCTCATTCTTACTTTGGACAACCTGGCAGGCTACCGAATGTAACCTGCCCACATGTCAGAGTCTGGCAAACTCCCCGT